CAGAATGAGGTCTGTTTGTCTCTAAAACCCTGAGTAGTTAGTCACCGCCTAAACATGAATGCATAGCTATGAATCTCAATCTGACCCACCTCAGAATTCACTGCAAAATTTCTAAAAATATGAGTCTTTAAGCTCCAGCTTTGGAACTCCTACCTGAGCAAAAATGTGGGAGGTAAAACAGCTGGAGCTCTTAGAATAGTGCCTGGGCCTTCCACAGTTCTCAGTAAATAGGCTGTGGGTGCAGTAGCTCACACCAGTAATCCCAGGACTCTGCAAGACCAAGGCAGGAAGATCGCCTGAGCCCAACAGATTGAGGCCAGCCTGGGCAACATAGGGAGACACCGTCTCTGCAGAAAAATTTTAAAAACTAGTCAGGTATGGTGGCATGCATCTGTTGTCTCAAGCTACTCAGGAGACTGAGGTGAGAGGATAACTTGAGTGTGGGAAGTCAAGGCTGCAGTGAGCCATGATCACGCCACTGCACTCCAGCCTGGGTGACAAAGCAAGACTGTCTCAAAAACAAATAAATAAATTAATTAATTAATTAATTAAATATTCACTACCATGTTGTTTAAGCTCACAACATCTCTAAGATGGCTACAAATTATTAGGCTTACATACAGATGATACAATTAAATACAACGTCAATTAGCTGACAAATGGCAGGGCCAATGCATGAACTCAGGAGTGTCTCACTCGACAGTTTCTGCTCTTAGCCCCTGTACATATCTCCCAGTCTAGCAGAAATGGATGAGCTGCTGGAGGCCTCTGAGGGGCAGTACTGAGAATGGGGGGAGCAGGGTGGGAGTGAGAGTCTCAGGGCTTCGACTTGTGCCATTTGTAAGGCACTGACCCTAGATTCTCCCAGTCATGTCATATATAAGTATAAAAGGCCGATAAGTGAATTATGGCCAGGCACAGTGGCTTACCCCTGTAATCTCAGCGCTTGAAGAGATTGAGGTGGGCAGATCACTTGAGGCCAGGAGTTTGAGACCAGCCTTGCCAACATGGCAAAACCCCATCTCTACTAAAAATACAAAAAATTTAGTTGGGCACGGTGGCATGTGCCTGTAGTCTCAGCCACTCAAGGCACGAGACTCACTTGAGCCCAGGAGGTTGCAGTGAGCCAAACTGACACCATTGCACTCCAGCATGGGTGACAGAGGGACACTCCATCTCAACAAAAAATAAAAATAAAAAGAGTTAATAAGTGAATTATAAACCTCAGGTTGGTTGAATCCTTATTGTGAAGCACAGAGATCATTATTACTTCATTTGCTGTAACCAACTTCTCACCCTCATCTTGAGACATGTGTCTGTGTGACTATTTATATCGGAATTAATAATGTGCATGGTCCTTAGTCCCAGGGAAGCTGAAAGATCGGAGGTGTTGCCGGAGCTGCAGGGACATGGAGAGCTGGCTCCTGCCCAGCACAGAATGAGGACAGGTCTGCTTCGATTCAATCTCAAGTGGTTTCCACCCTCTCGAATCTCAGCTCCCACCTGAAAGCCTGGTCCTGAGACTACTCATGTGTCTCCTACCATGCCCACCAGCCGGCTGAAAGCAGCTTTGGACCTGTAAGTAAGTGTCCCTAAAAAAGTCAAGACAGACCAAACCTCGGCTTAACTGCAACACACCCTTCCCATTCATCTGGATGTGACACCCTTCAAAGATAAGCACTGACAGTGAAACCCAAATCCCCCGAATGTGCATGCCCTTTGTTTGTTGCCAACTTGGGAGGTTGTATACAACTAACCCATGGGCCAGGGTGGTATGGTTTCTGGATTCCATGGGGCTGCTCCCCCTTCCTTGACTCTCTGGCAGCTGGCCTTGACTACTGTCCTAGACTCCTCCTCCAGAGCGCCGCAAGGGAAGGGAAAACAGATTGCATTCACATGTATCTAATTCCTTTCTGGGCCTTGTAGGGAGAGGCTCAAACAGTTGTCTAAGACAAAGGTTTTAGCAGTTGGGATTTTAATTTTTTCTTTTGGTATTGAAATGATCAAACGGTCATGGGCGTTTACAATTACTGACCTCAACTGGTATACTCTGCAGCTTGTTGATTGCCAATACCTACCCCTTCTGCTTTCTCAAAAAAACTACTGCAGACAAGAATCCATACTACGGATTTAGAAAGGAAGAAATTGAGTTTGTTAGGCTCTCATTCCAATATTCATGTCACTGAACTAGCTTTTCCAGAATTTTCTTTTCTTTTTTTTTTTCTTTTGAGATGGAGTTTTGCTCTTGTGGCCCAGGCTAGAATGCAGTGGTGGGATCTCGGCCATTTTTTATTTTATTTTATTTTTTTTTTGAGACAGAGTCTCACTCTATTGCCCAGGCTGGAGTGCAGTGGCGCCATCTTGGCTCAGTGCAACCTCCGCCTCCCAGGTTCAAGCGATTCTCCTGCCTCAGTTTCCTGAGTAGCTGGTATTACAGGCACATGCCACCACGCCCAGCTAATTTTTGTATTTTTTTTTTTAGTAGAGATGGGGTTTCACTGTATCAGCCAGGCTGGTCTTAAACTCCTGATCTCAGGTGATCCCACCTCAGCCTCCCAAAGCGCTGGGATTACAGGCATGAGCCACCGCACCTGGCCAAAGCATATGCTTACCGCAGGATCCAGCAATCACGTTTCTAGATATTTGCCCAAATTAGTTGAAAACTTTTGTCCACGCAAAAACCTGAACATGAATGTTTATACCAGCTTTATTTGTAATTCATAACTGCCAAAAGTTGGAAGCAACCAAGATGTCCCTCAGTAAATGAATGGATAAACTGTGGCACATCCATACCATAGATTATTATTCAGCAACAAAAAGAAATGAGCTATCGGCTGGGCGCGGTGGCTCAAGCCTGTAATCCCAGCACTTTGGGAGGCCGAGACGGGTGGATCACGAGGTCAGGAGATCGAGACCATTCTGGCTAACACGGTGAAACCCCGTCTCTACTAAAAATACAAAAAACTAGCCGGGCAAGGTGGCAGGCGCCTGTAGTCCCAGCTACTTGGGAGGCTGAGGCAGGAGAATGGCGTGAACCCGGGAGGCGGAGCTTGAAGTGAGCTGAGATCCGGCCACTGCACTCCAGCCTGGGCGACAGAGCGAGACTCCGTCTCAAAAAAAAAAAAAAAAAAAAAAAAAAATGAGCTAACAAACCATGAAAAGGCATGGAAGAGCCTTAAATGAATATTACTATGTGAAAGAAGCCAATCTGGAGAGTCCACCTCCCATATGATTCCAACTGTGACATTCTGAAAAAAACTATAGAGACAGTGGTTACCAGGGAGTTGTCAGGGGAGGAAGGGTAAGTAGGTTCAACGCAAGGAATTTTTAGGGAAGTGAAATTATTCTGTACAATATTGTAATGGTTCTACATGGCATTATTCATTTGGTAAAACCAGTAGGATGTACAACACCAAAAGTGAACCCTAATGGAAACTACGGAACTTTAGTTCAGAATAATTTATTGATGGGATTCAGGACATGCTACCACAAAATATGGCACCATGACTGACATGGTTTGGATTTGTGTCCTCACCCAAACTCCTGTCCAATTGTAATTTCTAATGTTGGAGGCGGGGCCTGGTGGGAGGTGATTGGATCTTGGGGGTGGTTTCTAATAGTTTAATTTCTAAGAGTTCAGCACCATCCCCATAGTGCCGTTTGCATGACAGAATTCTCATGATATCTGGTTGTTTAAAAATATGTGGCACCTCCCTGCTCTCTCGCTTCCCCTGCTCCAGCCACATGAGATGTCTCGCTCCCCCTTTGTCTTCCAGCATAATTGTAAGTTTCCTGAGGCCTCCCCAGAAGCCAAGTAGATGCCAGCATCATGCTTCCTATACAGTCTGTGGAACCATGAGCCAATTAAAACTCGTTTCTTTATAGATTACCCAGCCTCGGGTATTTCTTTATAGCAATGCAAGAACAGACTAACACAATGATATATTGAATATTTTAAGCTGAAGGAATTTGCAAAAGCAGCATGTGCAGAAAGGGTTTTCTGACCTTCCCCTGAAGCCAGGTCATAAGACCCTCGGGTGAGAGATGCCCTCCCTATACCTGGTGGAAAGGAGCGTCCGTATCTCTGAAGATGAAGGGACACAGAGAGAAATCTAACTAAACAAACAGGCCTTGATAAGCTTCCCCCAGCGGACTATACTTACTTCAAACTCTTTGCTCTACCATATTCTCCACAACTGTCCACCCTTTATCAAACCTACATCAAACTGTAACTGCTTCTTGGAGTCTTCATTTCCTTATAAAGGCTTCCATGTCACATACAACTTATATTAAATATGTTTATGCACTTTTCTCCTATTAATCTGTCTTCTGTTATAGGGTTCTCAGCCATGAACTTAGAGGGATAGAAGGAAAACAGATTTGTCCTCCCCTACAATATCAATATTGGTCCATCACTTGTAACAAATGTACCACACTAATGCAAGATGTTAATAACGGGAAAGTGTGGGGAGGGGAGAAGGGTGGGAGGCAGAGGGTATATGGGAACTCTCTACTTTCTGCTCTTTCTTTTTTTTTTTTTCTTTCTGATACTGGGTCTCTGTCACCTAGGCTAGAGTGCAGTGGTGTGATCTCAACTCACTGCAACCTCCGCCTCCTGCGCTCAAGCGATCCTCTCGCCTCAGCCTCCCGAAGTCAATCTGATTAAGACTCAACAATAAGAAAACAACCCGACTGAAAAGTGGGTAAGAGATCTGAACAGACACCTCACAAAAAGATATGCAGATGGCAAATAAGCATATGAATAAGCTAGGACGACAGGTGCACACCACCATGCCCAGCTAATCTGCTCTATTTTTTCTCTAAACCTAAAACTGTTATTAAAAAATAATCTATTGGTGCTTCCTGTGGCCGACGTCATATGGAGCAGATTTGCTTTCCTTTTCTCCAAAAGGGGAGAAAGTTGAAACTGAGTGGCCCACGATGGGAAGAGGGGAAGCCCAGGGGTACAGGAGGCCTCTGGGTGAAGGCAGAGCCTAAACATGGGGTTCAAAGCAACCTTGGCCATTGGCCTGACCATCTTTGTGCTGTCTGTCGTCACTATCATCATCTGCTTCACCTGCTCCGGCTGGTTTCTGTACAAGACGTGCCACCGACCACGTCCCTCCAAGTGTGCCGCCCAGCTACCCTGGACCAAGCTACCAGGGCTACCATACCATGCCGCCTCAGTCAGGGATGCCAGCAGCACCCTACCCAATGCAGTACCCACCACCTTACCCAGCCCAGCTCATGGGCCCACCGGCCTACCACAAGACCCTGGCTGGAGGAGCAGCCGCGCCCTACCCTGCCAGCCAGCCTCCTTACAACCCAGCCTACATGGATGCCCCCAAGGCGCCCCTCTGAGCATCCCCCAGCCTCTCTGGCTGCCACTTGGTTATGTTGTGTGTGTGTGAGTGGTGTGCAGGCACGGTTCCTTACGGCCCATGCGTGCTGTGTGTGTCCTGCCTGTATATGTGGCTTCCTCTGATGCTGACGAGGTGGGGAACGATCCTTGCCAGAGTGGGCTGGGACCAGACCTTGTTTTCTTCCTCACCTGAAATTATGCTTCCTAAAATCTCAAGCCAAACTCAAAGAATGGGGTGGTGGGGGCACCCTGTGAGGTGGCCCCTGAGAGGTGGGGGGTTCTCCAGAGCACATCTGGAGTTCTTCTCCAGCTTACCCTAGGGTGACCAAGTATGGCCTGTCACACCAGAATGACGCAGCTTTCTGTATGATGCAGATGTGTCCTGGTTTCGGCAGCGTAGCCAGCTGCTGCTCGAGGTGATGCAGGCGAAACTTGGGATCTAACCAAGTTGGGCTTTGATCCTTTAGGCAGATGTCCCATTGCTCCCTGGAGCCTGTGTCGTGCCTGTTGGGGGTCAGGTGGCCCCCTGATGCCAGAACACCTCAGGCAGAGCCCTCCTCACCTGATAGCTGTCTGCCTGGACTGTCCCCTGTCCCTGCATCTTCCCTGGGACCACCCAGAGGGCCACATCCACACACAGCCTAGCTGTCCACAGGGAGCTCTGCTGCCCTTGCTGGCCCTGCCCTTCCCACAGGTGAGCAGGGCTCCTGTCCACCAGCACACTCAGGTCTCTTCCCTGCAGTGTTTTCATTTTATTTTAGCCAAACATGTTGCCTGTTTTCTGTTTTAAAACATGATTAGTTGATATGAGACTGAAACCCCAGGGTTGTGGAGGGAAATTGGCTCAGAGAGACGGACAACCTGGCAACTTTGAGTCCCTGCTTCCCCTGACACCAGCCTCATGGAATATGCAACTCCTGTACCCCAGTCCAGGGTGCTCTGGCAGCAGGGACACCTGGGCCAAGGGGCCATCTGGACCAAAGGTGTGGTATGGGGCCCTGGATGGCAGCTCTGGCCCAGACATGAATACCTCAGTGTTCCTCCTCCCTCTATTACTGTTTCACCAGAGCTGTCTTAGCTTCGAATCTGTTGTGTTTCTGAGTCTAGGATCTGTACCCTTGTTTATAATAAGTGCAATCGTTTGGAAAAAATAAAATTAAAATAACCTATTAATTTTTTAAAGTCTCACACTGTATTCTCACTTGATACATGAGTAAAGGTGATACTGAGGTGAAGTGAAAAAAGGATGGTCTTTATAATAAATAATGACAGATCAACAAGATAGCCATATAAAAATAAAATGAACCTTGATTTCCTACCCACACAAAATTCAAATCCAGGTGGATAGTCAATCTAAATATAAAAAGGAAGCAATTGACCAGGCGCAGTGGCTCACGCCTGTAATCCCAGCACTTTGGGAGGCCAAGGTGGGCGGATCACCTGAGGTCAGGAGTTCAAGACCAGCCTGACCAACATGGCAAAACGCCCATCTCTACTAAAAATACAAAACTTAGCTGGGTGTGGTGGGGGGGCACCTGTAGTCCCAGCTACTCATGAGACTGAGGCATGAGCATCACTTGAACCCAGGAGGCAGAGGTTGTAGTGAGCCAAGATCACACCACTGCACTCCAGCCTGGGCAACAGAGTAAGACTCTGTCTCAAAAAAAGAGAAAGCAATAAAACTTTATGAGCAATTCTAAGAGAATGGCTTTATGATATTGGAGTAGACAAAAACTCAAAAAGGACACAAAAAGTGCTGACCCTAAGGGGAAAAAAACATCAACAGGACGATTTTAGAATTAAGAGCTTCTTTTCGGAAAAATGATACCATTAAGAGAGTGATGAGGCAGGCTAGAGAATAGGAAAGGAAATGCTATGATAGGGAGTAATCTCCAATGTGTTGGTAAGTGAAAAAGGGGCGTGGCAGAACAGCATGGATAGAACAATGAACAGATACGGACAAAAAGAGCGGCCACTAGAAATTATACAATGGTGTCTCCTCTGCATCTCAGCCTTTTAATATCATAGATCAATAGTGCCAAAGTGAAAACACTGTCAATGAATTTCTGAAGGAACATGTGCATCTTGTTTTAAGTTGAGTATTAACTGAAAGTCTCACTCCGGCTGAAAACCTAAATTGATGATGTTGCTACTTGGGATAGTCCATTACAATCGCCTCCATTGTCAGCTGCATCCGCACCTCATCTGGATAGACATTCACTCAGCATGCAAGGTGGATGCTCATCAAAGCCCCTTTCTGCCGGGGCCTTCCTGCAACCAGCAACACTCAAGGACCCCCGCACTCGATCCACCCACAGGGCGTGGTTCCTCAGGATTTTCTTTCTCTGCTCTCTATTATATTGTTCTGGATATTTTTCTTTACCTGCTTAATTACCAAAATAGTAGAAAAAGAGAGAGATTTTAATTACTATACTAAGGAAATGGAATGTTTTATCCTCAAAACTCAAGGCTGTCATTCATTAATAGGTTGTGCTGTCCAGGCACAGCAACTCACACCTGTAATCCCACCAACTTGGGAGGCTGAGGCAGGTGGATCACTTGAGGCCAGGAGTCCAAGACCAGCCTGGCCAACATAGTGAGACCCCCATCTCTACTAAAAATACAAAAATTGGCCAGGCGCAGTGGCTCACACCTGTAATCCCAGCACTTTGGGAGGCCGAGGTGGGCAGATCACGAGGTCAGGAGATTGAGACCATCCTGGCTAAAACAGTGAAACCCTGTCTCTAGTAAAAATATAAAAAATTAGCCAGGTGTGGTGGCAGGCACCTGTAGTCCCAGCTACTCGGGAGGCTGAGGCAGGAGAATTGCTTGAACTCGAGAGGTGGAGGTTGCAGTGAGCCGAGATGGTGCCACTGTACTCCAGCCTGGGCAACAGAGCGAGACTCCATCTCAAAAAAAAAAAAAAAAAACACAAGAATTAGCCAGGAATGGTGGCATGTGTCTGTAGTCCCAGCTAATTGGGAGATTGAAGTATAAGAATCACTTGAACCTGGGAGGCAGAAGTTGCAGTGAGCCAAGATCACACCACTGCATTGGGCAACAGAGTGAGGCTCTGTTTTAAAAAAAAAATAGGTTGTGCTAATGAGGATTCTCAGAGAAATCCTGTAGGCCCTGGGGAAATGTGGAGCTGAGGGTCAAGGTCACAAACAGAAGGAAGGAGCCTTCAGCCTGGATGCTACAGGGACCCAGTGAGCTCTCAGTAGGCTCCAGAAGCAACCTAATTCACATACATGCAGTTAAAAGAAAAGTCTCGCCCTGATGTCCCAGTGGCCACCAGACACATATTCTCAACAGCCTAGATAATTCTACAATCAGATAGGTTTCTTCCTAAAATTCTTCTTTTTGAAACGGAGTCTCACTCTGCTGCCCAGGCTGGAGTGCAGTGGCATGATCTCGGCTCATTGCAACCTCCACCCCGCCAGTTCAAGCAATTCTCCTGCCTCAGCCTCCAGAGCAGTTGGGATTACAGGCACCTGCCACTGCGCCTGGCTAATTTTTGTATTTTTAGTAGAGATGGGGTTTCACCATCTTGGCCAGGCTGGTCTTGAACTCCTGGTCTCGTGATCCACCCACCTCGGCCTCCCAAAGTGCTGGGATACAGGTGTGAGCCGCCGTGCCCAACTGACTTCTTCCTAAAATTCTAAGCAAATCTTACCCAAGGGCAATTGCAGCTCCTTTCTTGCCCCTCCCTGGCCCCCCAAAATTCCAAAAAACAATGAAAATCAAATGAAGAACATTTTGCCAGCGTTCCAGTTGACACAACTTTTGCAATTTCTGCAGCCAGAACAGACTCTTAGCAAACTGATGTGGGAGGGCTGGGATCTGAGCAGAACGTGAAGTTCACATTTTTTTCAAAGCTGCAGGACAGACCCTGGTGTGCAATGGCGAGAACACAGGCTGGGGAGTCAGGCAGCTGAACTGGGGGTGAGGCTGGTCGATTCAGCTCTTAGTCCAACTTCAACATTTCCAAATGTGAGAAATTAGACGAGAGGATGTCTAAGAACACTTTCCGTCCAAACATTTGGTGATTGCATAATAATATGTTTTTTTCATTCAAATTATCATCTTGTTTTTCTTCTGCAATTTCAGTGTGTGTAGGGTTGGGGTAGTCTTCCTGTTCCGAGACACGATGGCATAGATTCACTTTCCCCTGCTTCTCACCTCTAAGTACACCTAAATACCCTGGGAATAAATCAACAGACAATCACACAACAACCCTAAGAGGCGGAAAGTAGAGGCAGACTGGCTGAGGACCCAGAGGCAGGAATAACACTGTGTTTGTGCCCTGGGCTGTCTTTTTATTCCCACACATGCCAGACTGAAAACGAAAGAAGCCTGCAATCCAGAACCACCAACGGGCCTAAATTAAAAAGAACAAATGGCCGGGCCTAGTGGCTCATGCCTATAACCCCAACACTTTGGGAAGCCGAGGCGGGCGGATCACCTGAGGTTGGGAGTTCGAGACCAGCCTCAACATGGAGAAACCCTGTCTCTACTAAAAATACAAAATTAGCCGGGCGTGGTGGTGCATGCCTGTAATCCCAGCTACTCAGGAGGCTGAGGCAGGAGAATTGCTTGAATCTGGGAGGCGGAGGTTGTGGTGAGCCGAGATTGCGCCATTGCACTCCAGCCTGGGCAACAAGAGCGAAACTCCGTCTCAAAAAAAAAAAAAGAACAAATAAGGAAAAGCAACAAAAAGAAAAGTCTGCTCTCTCTGGCCAAAGGGCCAGGAAAGGGCAGCAAAGCGGAAACCCAGCAGGGAGATACATGCCCATGATTCACGCCTGGGCAAGGACAGCTGACCTGGCCTGCAGCAGCAGGGTCAGCAGGAGCTGCCTGGAACCCATGCCTCACTCCAAACCTGGAGCCGTGGCAGGCTACTGTGGTGTTCCCCTGGGTCTATGATGAGGAAGTGGAAGCAGCAGATGATGAGGTTGCAACCAGACTCAGATTTCTAGCTTTGTTCGTGATACTCCGGATGGTTATCAAGTCCAACTAAACCTCCTCATGGCCGGGCACGGAGGCTCTTGCCTGTAATCCCAACACTTTGGGAGGCCGAGGTGGGTGGATCACTTGAAGTTAGGAGTTCAAGACCAGGCTAGCCAACATGGTGAAACCCTGTCTGTACTAAAAATACAAAAATTAGCCAGACGTGGTGGTGCATGCCTGTAATTCCAGCTACTCGGGAGGCTGAGGCATAAGAATCACTTGAACCTGGCAGGTGGAGGTAGCAGTGAGATGGAGCCACTGCACTCCAAGCTGGGTGACAGAGTAAGACTCTGTCTCAAAAATAAATAAATAAATAAATAAATAAATAAATAAATAAATAAACAAAAAACCTCCTTTTGAGGTCAGGTCAATCAGTCGGTGACACAATTCAGGTCTTAGATGGTAGATTCCCAGGCATAGAATGCATCTGATAATGGCCCCAGATTTGTGGCCCAAGCCACACATCAATGGGCCCAAGCATGGGGCATATATGATGGACACCCTATGCTCTCTATCACCTCCAAGCAGCAGGGATGATTGAGTGTTTTAGTAGACAATTGAAGGACAGGGTTAAGTGACTGACAGGAGGGAATAAAAGAACCTCGGCCTGGACTATGCATCTCAGGGTAACAATCTGGGGTCCCAGTGTGGCAATTCCTCGAAGGGGCAGTCCATTTGCACTGCATATTTGATCAGACTGTCTACCTGCTTCCTTCTATTGCACAGCCTCAGTTTCTCTGGGGAACCCTACAAGGGTCCCCCTTCCCCTTCAATTCCTTTCTAAAGACTCAGATAGGTGAGAGATTAGAATAGCTATTAAAAAACAAGGCGTGCGAGACAGTAACCCTCTTCATCAGTCATTCCTTTGGTGCTAAGCATGGATTTTTTTGCCTGCAAAAAATAATCACTATCAACGTGAGGCTTCTAATTCAACGTTTTCCATAAAGTGGCTTTGTTGCTTTGCCTGGTTATTTTCAAGGGATGAATATCAATGTATAGAAGAGAAACTTTTTTTTTTTTTTAAGTCATCAGAGGATCCAGGCCAGATTACAGCCCACCTCCCTGGAGGATAGTCGGAAGATGCTACCCTCACCCATGTCACAGTGGGTGGGGAAAATCCCCCCAACTGACAGGACCTGAG